TACTATACTATATAGTACTATATATATATATATATATATATATATATATATATATATATATATATATATATATATATATATATATATATATATATATATCTCGTTCCGTCCGGTAACGAGCAGTCCATGTACCGGTAAGCTGACGGACCGGTACGTACCGCCCGTACCGGACAGTATTATTCGAAATTACATACCTTGATTTGTAGCATTAATTTGTTGCGCAAAATCATATATTTCAAATTCCAGACCTATTTATTTGTGCTAATATTTGATATCAACTTTAGTCCGAGTTCAAATAGTTTATTAGGATTTGGTCAACTCAAAAAACTGGTTGGTTTAAACACACAAGGATGAAACAATTTAAACGAGAGTAACACCAAAAACATAGACTTCTAACTGTAGATGAGATGACAATGAAGGCAAACAAGATGACAATGAAAGTGAAGAATATTATAGAAGCAAGGATGAGGTCCTTGTGACACCTTAATTCCAATTAAAGATAAGACCAGTATATGTATAACCCAACTGACATTGCAAAACAAACCTAAACTATTTTGGACTAATCAGCAAAGGTCAGCTCCACACAAGTTATTTGACCAAAAAAGATATCAATTGACCTCTATGAGCCCTCATTGAGGCTAACATGGTGACAGAAATGATATCAAGCAACCTCTATAAGCACTCATTGAAGGCTAGCATGTATTAGGATTTTCATCACCTTGTGTGCATCAGGATGGATATCTCCTCAGGTTAGATGACATTGTCATCAAGCATTCATGCATAAAAGATTACAACATTCCAAACACTTGGAGATATTGAAAGATTGGTTGGCCTACTGTTAATGTGTAATACCTTGGCCTTGAGCATTTGGATCACGTTAGCTAAGGTTCACAACACTGAATTTATTAAATCTAGTATCACTTTCAAGATTTAGCGAGCTCTTACCTTTATCGCATTTGCAACTTGTGATGAATCTGGCACAAATCTGAAGGCAACTCCATCAACCTTAAGCTGAAAAACCTGCAAGCTTGTTACATAAGACAAAACAATCACTTTTTTTATTAATAGCACATAATAGAATAAACAACATAATGAAACACAAGAAAAGATCCACTGTAATGTGACTAAAAGAGTTGAAATCCAGTCAATTTTAGGCTAGGTCGCATCTTCATTTGAAAGTGGTCTTCTTGATTTTCTTAACTAAGATATTTTGGCGTATACTTTTTCTAGATAGAAATTTTGGATGATCTGATGTTGTGTCTAAGTTAGAGAAGTGGTCAGTCATTCTCTGTCTAGTTAGGGATAGAGTTTGAGCAATCAAAGATTATTTGGGTTTTGATTAATACAAATAAGATAGAGATGAATAAAACTGTGACACAAGAAGAGTTCAAAATATTTACCATAGCCATACTGAAATTGTGTTCAGTGCTAGTACTGCCTAGATGGTTCTTTAATGTATTAAAGCTCATATATACTATCACTACCAGTAGGTAATTCCTGAAAATTAAGGTTTTATTAAATGCTCATTATCTCATCTTTATTTTTCTCATTACAAGTCCTTGTTACTTCTCCATATTTGCTACAAATATGAATTCTGACCTTCTAAAAAAATGTCAATTTTTTTTCAGAACATTCATATCTTCAAAAATCCTGCATGAAGCACGGGTACTTTTCGAAATTTGGCATATCATTACAAATACAACTTGTCACATCGCTACACGGTGTATGCATCCATGCTCTGTAGGAGAGACATACAGAGAGAGGTGTAAATCACCTGAAAATTTTTATTTGACACATGTTATGCAGGTGTACTTTAAAGGCAAACAGAGATTGATCGATGTTAATGATGTAAAAGAAACATTTATGCTGAAGAAGAGATGGCAACATGTCCAGCATTTACAAAAATGACCAAGAAATTTTTTTCCATCGAAATGAAAAACATGGAGATCCCATCAACTACATACGAACATCCACAAGGCCGAACATGCAGAGTCGAGAATCTTCTGACCTTATTGAGGGCAACGGCGACCACCTTCGACCCTTCCCGCATGTCCCGATTCATGGACCTCATCTGCTCCAGCAGAGCCTCGGCGTCCTCCTTCTTGAAGCAGAAAAGTCCCAGGCTCTTCCCAGTGCGAACACCGGAAACGAGCACGAACTCCTCCGCGGCGTTGCTGAGGGCGTAAACGGGCACCCCGGCGAGCCGCTCCTCCATGACCTCCGTCGACATGGCGAGGTCGAACCGCCGGACGCCGCTGCATCCGGCTGGGGAGATACGGGCCCAGGGAAGTGGGGGCGGTCCGGGTGGCGGCGAGGGCAAGTGGGGATGGCCAGATAGGACGGCCCGTCGCGCACGGTTTCGAAGGGTTTCGACGGCGGAATCGAGGTGGGCTTTGAGGGAAGAAGAGGCATCCGAGAAGGCGTTGAGGTGAGATTGGATTGTGAAGAGGAAGGGGTTCGGTTTGGCGGGGATTGATGGCGGAGGGTTTTGGTTTCGGGGTTTAAGCCAAGGGAAGGCCATTTCTTGCGATAGTGGGAGCGAGGGCCGCGACGCAGTTTTGGTGCTACGGAGAGGCAAGTGACTGGTGATTAATAGGTCAGATCGGTGGCGCGTCTTGTAGGCAGAGGGGGGTTTATTTACGGGAGCCCATTGTTTAGAATCCTTTTTATTCTCGTGCTCTCTATTGCCCTATATTTCGATATCCCCGACGATCGCTGGCCCACACTTGGTCCGCGTTTCGTTGACGCTCCTTTCTATGGTGCCATTCACTCTACTGATCACAGATGTCGTCGTACTGTTAGGGATTTAATTGATTTAATTTCAAATCATATGATTTTCTTACGTGTCTATTCGATTAGTCTAATTAATTTTTTTAGATTTTTAAAAATTTATAAAAGAGAAGATAGATTAAAAAAATATTTAATTTATAATTTCATAAATAGATATTTTAGTAAACATTTGATACATAATGTAAATTACAAATATAAATTTTTCAAACGAGGCGATCGCACGACAAAAGGTCCACAATGATCCGTTGTGATCAAAAGTCCTCATAAGTACTCACATAATATTACTGTAGAACAAGATAATAAATCAATCTTAGACATTACCCTAAAGGCTTATCCAGCCATGTCCACCCGGGTAGCTCCTCGTGTTGTGATGGCTAATATTATGTACTTATTGTATGAAGCTAAAAAACCTAAAAAAATATCTACTTGGATGGTCGATTTTTGATAATTTCACATCTATGTGATAAGTGCACACAACTTATGTTTACAGGATTAAAACAACCAAAATGAAATTATCAAACCTACTACAAGTCCACTATATGTTATACAAAGAATGAATAAAACTAAAAGATGAATATACAAAAACATTACATCGAACACCCTCTGTACAAAGTTGTCTATGACATTCTCCCCATTTATTCTTTTGACGTCCTTGTTGAAACCTTTATGAATGTTATATCTTCTCGGTTTTGCTGAATCTTTAATCTTCTGCTCTAGTTACAATGCACCTCTTTGTCACGAACGGTCGTCACGCACCCGCAACAACTCCGTTCAACGAACCGTTCGTCGCTCTCATCTACATGTACAGTTGCTTGGCAACATGTTTTGTCTTGGTTTTGAGTTATTTTACTTATAAAAATATAAGTTTGAATAAGTTTCAATACTACAAAACGATAGCTCACCGAACCGAGCAAAATAGCCCCAAAACATCTCCGTTTTCGTATGTCATGGGCTGTTTTCTGCAGTACGCTTCCGCTCACCAAAACGTTAGTCATCTCAGCCCCTTGGAACCACCCGGGTGGCACAAGACTGGATGTGGCTTCGGTATAGTGTCGGGCATTGAATAATCTTTTGCAAGTTCGCAAGTTACCTTGACGAAAACTTGTTGTCGCGCCTAGCACCCGGTGAGCAGTTGTTTGTGGACTTGTAGCTGTTCGTTCAATCTTCTAAAGTCCTTGTTTTCCCTTTCTCCCTCTTTTCTCTTATGCATGCAAGGTGCTCGCTGAATTGCTTGTAAAGCTTCCCCTTTTCGTGAGACATCGGAACTTGTCCATCGCTCGTTCTTCGAACTAATTAACTTTCTCTTTTTATAAGTCCTTCGGGACCTATGAGAGGTTGCAAGTTGGCTGATCTTTGCGGACGCAAATCGCAAGGGCGAAGCACGACTTAGGCAACACAAGCTAAGTTCACGTATTTACCACAAGGGTGCCTCGTAACTTAGGCAACGTAAGCTAAGTTCGCGTCTTTGCCACAAGGGTGCCTCATGCCTTAGGCAATTCTAGCTAAGTCCATGACATTGTGGTATCAGAGCGAGCAAGCACTTCAAGCGAGTGACGAAGGAACTTCGCAACTTCGCCATGGCAAAGCATCGTGACGAATCAAGCAAGACGAGGCAAGCCGGACCCTTGCCCTAAGCAACCGCAGGTGGGCTGCATGTGTACACTCGCTCTCATGCTATTGGAGCCACTTTGTTGAATCTCGTATTTTGATGATGAAACTACTTGATATATGTTTATGATTTAATCTGCGTTTTGAGTGACGCAGGATGCCTTGATCAGGATGAGACAGTTAAAGCAGGAAAATCATGTTGTGCCGGAGGAACATGTCAGAAGATTGGACGTCGAGCCGGTAGATCGGTCGACGTATCGACAGAAGGCTTCGGGCAGTGGACTCGGGCATCGGGCCAAGAAGAGCGGTTATTGTGCCAAGGATATCGGAGTTGCGGAGTCAACTGGCCGATTGGGCAATAGGCCGCAGGAGAGGACGATGCGCCGAAGAATCAGACGAAGCGTCGAGGGACCAATGACATGCCGGACAAGTTGGTTAATTGCTTAGGATTAATTGTCTCGATCGAAGTTTTGTTTTAATTGTGCAGGATTAACTATGATAACGATGAAGACATAAAGCGAAATAAAGTGTCGGAGTCAAGCGCGAAGGATTTGTTGCGAGTTCGAGAGTTCGACGGAAGTCCGAAGGTTCGTCGGGAATGCTACCGGAACTAGCCGAGAATGAGTTGGGAGCTTGCCGAAGGGTTTTTCGGAAGCTCGCCGGAAGGTTCGTTGGGAGTTCGCGGAGCTCGCCGAGAAAGATCGGAGCTTGCCGAAGAAGCTCGTTGGAACTCGCTAAGAACAAACCGTGAAGTCTAGGAGCTTACCGGGAGTCCGCAGAATGGTTTCCGAGAGTTCATCGGAAGACCGCCGGAAGTTTGCCGAAAGCTCGCCAGAAGAAGTCTTGACTTGC